GATTTCAGTCCCAAACTGGCAGGATCCCAAGTACTGTCACTGCAGATCTGTGTAACTGCAGAGTGTGTGTGTACACACCCTACAAACACACACACTGCTGAATTCCTTATTCTAATAGAAGTCATTGCTGCACAATCTGTGCCATGAACATCACAGGAAYATGTGATGGAATAATTCTCTGAAGGAATGATGTGACTGGCACGAATTCTAAAAACCCATCCACGGGAGGAAACATTTCAGCACATAAAAGCCAAACATAAGGGTGACAGATACAWCTTGTGCTTTATGAAACAGAATCAATTACTGGGACAAATTGAAAGGTTTGAGTGTATTTTCATATCTGCTGGAACAGCAAATGTCACAGTGGGCAAAAGAGAGCAAACATGGGGAATGCYCTAGGGAGCAGAAAGTTAAAATACTCACATCATGAAGAGGATATGCAGCTGTGTAGGTGCCGTTGTTCAGCAGYCTCTTAATCCCAAATTTTTTCTTCCCTTCTTCTGTTCCGTATGGGCAACGTGTAAGAATATAATTCACCTGAGATTCAAGGACAAGAATTTCAGAGCTTTCCTGTCTTAAGGCCAYTTAATAAAAACCTACAATGGATTGTGCACTGTGTATAGTCTTCAGGAACAACATGCAAAAGCAGAAAGCTTTTTTTCAGAAGGCCAAGAACACTCACTCCTTCCTTGCATGAATATTCTGATGGGGCCACCTAAATCTAAATGGAAACAAAAGTAACTCAATGGTACTTACAATTCTGTTCCTCATGGATGGKGAGAAGAAGGTGCTCTCATCGTTAATGAGGAACAGCTCCTGCTTGTCCTTGCTGAACGGCGCCGTGAAATAATCAGGCTCGGGGTGCATCACCTTCTCAGGCAGCCTGAGTGGGAAAAGMACACAGTCCAGGGGGTTCTCCACCATGGGGGGAATGTCATTTTCCTTGATGGGAACTTTGATGTTCAGCACTTCTGCGTAGGTGATCAGCACCTCCCACGGCGCGTGGATCTTCACAAAGTAGATCTTGCCATCCTCGGATTCCTGCTCCAGGAAAGTGAAGTCAGACACTAGAACAAGCTGTGTTTTATTGCAAGATATATGGGGATGTTTTTTGATACAAATTGTGTTGCCTTTTACATATTTTTGAAGGAATTTTGAAGCAAAAGGGAGGGGGGAATAGGACGGCTTTTCGTGTGTGTGTGTGTATATATTTATGTTTAACTGAAAACTGTATCAAAGGACTCAAGTAAACACATTAATCTTGGTTCCCCTAAATTAATCACCCTCCACTGAAATCCATGAGCATAATTTATATTTTTTCTCAAAGAAACAAATTGGTTGATTAATTTCTGTGTCTATTCCTTTGGTCCTAATTTTTTAAAATTTTTTTTTACCTTCTTGTCTTCTGTTTCTAGCTCCAAACCAGCCTTTTGCAGGTTGCTCTCAAAYTCTTTTCTCCTTTCCTGAAGAGAAACAAAGTCCCTTTAGTAAATGATGAAGYTGGCAATGACCCACTGAGTTTCACCTCTCTGACAACCCCTGGAGGAAAGCAGACAAAACCCAGCCCATGGATGGGCTTTGTAAGGCCCAGCTTAGTGATGGCAACACCTGGTGAGCCAAAGGACACCAGGGGCAGGAAAAGGCTGTTTCATCACAAAAATCAACTGATTTCTTGTGTCCTGAGCACTGCTGCATGGGTGGGATGTGCTCCTCTCCGAGTTCATCCACATTTCCAAGAGAATGATGACAAGAAAAGCTCTGGAAGCACTGGCTGCTCACAGCCTCACCTATTTTAGGAGTTACACAATCTGATTGAGGCATTGAAGCACTGATTATGGGCCACTCAAACAGTCCTTCACAAACACCACTGCAATTCCAGATAAGATGAACAAATCCCCACGTGTGCTTAGCTTGCAATAAAGTCAGCAGTGGACTTCATGCAGGGATCAATGAACCTGCCCTGGCAATGTCTGGGAGCTTCAGATTCTTCTTGAGCTCTGTATTTTGCAAAGTAATCCCTAGCTGGTATCTTTAGGTAAGAGCATTTTCTTCCTCTCCTTTTTTTTATTTTTTTTTTTTTTTCTCCTATTGGGAGACTGCATTAATTTCCTCTTTAATTGTACAGAATTTGCTGAAGAACTGCCAGAATAACAGCAAATTAAGGCAAATATTGAGCCCTAGCTCAATCTTTGAAATGCACAAGCTCAACCACCACCTTTATTTCTGCCTAAACCCTGCCATGCTGTCGAATGTTTCTTCTATTGAAAAGTTTAAAATGACAGCTTTCAAACATACTTTAAAACCACAAACCATCACAGTTTTCAGCCARTTTTCTTTTCCTGCTTGCCTGTGAGGAGCAGACTGCCCTTTCTGCATTTCATTTTGCATACAGCACTCAGATAAATGAATCCAGAATGAAGAATGGCTTTCATAGCCCCTCAAATGTACCTTAATTGATGTTTTCCTGCCTTAGTAACCTCCCATTTTTATGAGTCACRTATGATTTTGCCAAATATTATTGGATATTAAAGTCTGGCTCYCTTTTACTTATCTTTCCTTATTATACACTTAGTATGATAAAATATAGTGCATTTTCTAATAGGAATCATGCTCTTTTTACCACCTTGCTTTTCTCCCAGAAGGCCCCTACTGTAACCCATGCAATGCACTGACTTTCCAGTTAATGGGAAAACCATTTTAAAAGGAAATCAATCTGCTAAAAAAACCAAATAAAATTAAAAAGAAAAAGAGGCTCCCCTTTTTTTTGCCAAATACTGGATTTTTTCATGGATTTTTTTCATTCTGGATAGTGACAGTCCTGCTTATTAAACCCACAAATTATTTTTTTCCATTTCATATGGCAGTGAAATATTTCCATTTATTGTGCTGGTGGGTTTAAGGAATAATACAAAGCATTGTCTCACAAAATTGTAATATCAATTGATATCAATTTTTGTTTCAAGAGCTTTGGGGTTTGGATTTATTCACGTGGCTTATAGAAAGCAGGTTCAAAACAGCATTGAAGCAGCTCATCAAAAAAATTAAAACAGTTGCTCTGTGTAAAACTCAGGGAGAAGATGAACAGACTGTCTCYTACATCTGTAAACACACAAAGAAGTTATTCATCCCCTTCTTAGAAATGCAGGATAAAGCTGTTTCCTCCAGACAAGGAAACAAAACCCTTTGTCACAACTGTTATTCTCCCCATATGAAAAGCTCTATTTTCAGCTATTCCATTTTGCTGTCTCATTGTACCACAGTGAAAGAAACTCACATTTCTTCCTCTGATAACAGCTCAATGGCAAGGACAGKGCATGTCAGACAAATTCCAGAGGCTGCAGTTCATCAATATTTAAATCCTGTTACCACAAAGACAACAGCACAGCACTTRCATGCTAAGAAGCCTGCATTAATTCATGGGCATACTAATTGCATAAAAATCTATGCATAAAAATCTATGCTGAGYATAGATATATATAAAATAAATATAAATRCAGGGCARATGCAGATGGGCCAGGAACTGTGTAAAAAAAAAATTGTTGGTGCAATGACCACAGAGTTAAGAATTTTGTGAGGTTTTTTATTTTCTTTCTACATTGAGTGGTCTCCTCTTCCTTCTTTTCTAAATGCATTTTGCTTCGTGGGAGAAGAAACATCTAGCTTGGGGTACAGCCTGACAAAGGGCCAGGGTGAGTTTGGAAAAGTGTGTTTGTATGTAAACCTGTGGTACCATAGCTGTAAAATAATCTGGTCTCCCAAGAAAAAKCTCTGGAATGTGGGAAAAGCTGACTGACACACCCAATCTGGGAAAAGCA